CTCGCGTGGATGGGAAGGGACTCATGAGGCCCCGTTTCTATCTGAAGGTCTTTTGGCAGTTAATGGCTGCTGATGGAGGGAGATTCACTTTGCTTTGGGTGGTATGGCTACTGGTAGGTTGCCCATGATCTATCTACAGGACACCTATGAACAATACATTCCAGGTCAGCACTCATTGGACTCAGTGATTTTATATATATATCACATGAAGTTGGGAAGAGGCCTAATGTGGAGGGTCTGGAAGAAGTTGGAAGGGGAGAGTGAGGACTGGATATGGTCAAAATGCATTCTATATGTGAATGAATTTCTTAAGGAATAAAAAAAAAAACTATTGTATTAAAAACTGTGTGCTAATCTACTACATCTCATTTCCAGAAGACAAAGTTCATTCTTTTATGGCCAACTGGAACTCAGTGATATTAAGTACCTGATCTCACATTTCTGCATTTTAAAACTTTATTTATATTAAGAACTAAATGTTGACTTGCTTCTTATATAAAAAAGAAAATTGAATCTCACACACAATGTTTAGCAAATGCTTTTTCTCTAAAATTTCTAAGAGCATCTCAGCTTATGGTAAAATACGTCATACATTCTTAGATGGGAAAGTGGTTCTGTAGGATAATATATCTTTCATACACAAATTGGGATATTATTTTTCACACATTTGCCCTGGTAAGAATGTGAAAGAAAAGTGATTTGGTTTCTGGAAAATATCCAGCCTGAAGCAGATCCAGACTTTATCTAGACCCAAATATCCTATGAGGTCAAGGAGTTCTGTGGAGCCCTGAAACAGGCTAATGAAAGATACACTTTTTGACTGCTCTGTCTTGGTACTTACTCCCCTGTGCCATGTCACTGCTGAGAGGTTCTGAGCTGCCTGTTGCAAAGGAACATCAGTGACGTGCCTGGTGTCAAAGGATCAGCTCCTCTTGCCACTGGCTCCTGTAGCTGGGAATCCCAAGTCCAGCTGGCTTTAGGTTTTCCAGAGTTCAACCACTGCTGAAAGATCTATTACAGCTATTTTCTTTTAAAAAATCATCCTTTTCTTTGCGTGTCAGAACCATTGTCTTATTTTAGATACAGTCCAATAAACATCTTTAGGGAAGATACATTTTGCACGAGAATTATTACTATTAAGAAAAACATAAGAAACTATGGGTTTTTTTGGGTTTTTTTCTTTGAGACAGGGTCTCCCTGTAGCCCCAGGCTGGCCTTGAACTCATAGAGATCCGCCTGCCTCTGCTGGGATTAAAGGCGTGCGCCATCAAACAAAACTATGGGTTTTTAATTTGACCTCAGATGTTTGGATCAAGTATGTGAATCCATACAAAGGCCAGACTAAGTCTGCAGCTAAGACTCATTGCTTCGTTCCTTGGAGGTACTTACTTAATATGAATGTCTTTAAAAGGAGTAGTCTCATCTAATAGCTATTTAACAGTCAGCAAATCTCTATCAACTAAATCACAATTCACTCTACACAACTTTTAATAGCCTTATTTACTGCACAATAAAGTTAATAGTATAGTAATTAAAGTAATATAGAGAATGTAGTAGAGTTGATGGTTATTTTGATAATAATGTATACAATGATAATAATGTATGCAGCTTTTATTATGGTATAAACATTTATGGCTAATTGTAATAGTTATCTGGATTGTGGTGAATTTGTATGTAAAGTTGAAAGTGTTGACGGTATAAACATTAAAGTTAAACTAAATATATTTCCTCTTTTATTGCATCTCATTTCATTTTACTTTTCATTACGATGCTTCCTAAAATATATATTTTGAGATAACCTTTAAAAATTTGTCAGAGAAAAGTTTCACAGCTATTTGGACAGTTAAGGGTATTGAGGAAGGGACGGATGGGGAGAATGTCAAAGAAGTGGAGAACTACGAATAGCACTGTGCACATGAAAGGAAGATTCAGGAGAAATGTGATTAACATCCCAACACTGTTCTGTCAGTTAAGAATCTATGTTAAAGTGCAGCAAGCAAGAATTCTGGGCTATCTATAACTGAAAGCTTAATGATTTTAAAATTTGAGTCTATGTTCAGGGAACAATGATCTAAAATAAAGTTTCTCAGAACAGCAGAAAGCTCTATTTATCACTGTGTACCATAAGAACTTGTGGTAGCTGACCTTGTTAAAATCTTTTTTCAGTATCAGGGGTTGAACTCAGGGCCTGGTGAATGCTAGTCAAATTCCCTACTGTTGAGCTTTTTCTCCAGCCCCACAGTGACATTTTTCAGAAGAGTCATAGAATGACTCTCTGTAAGGATCTTGCTTGTATTTGTTTTAAAGTCTATTCTACAGACCAAAGTCCCAACTGTTCACCCCAATTGATTGTACAGCATTCTCTCTCTGTTTTCCATGATATTTATTCTGTAGCATTTTGAACAAATAGTAAGGCTCAGAAACTTGAAACTTGCACTAGATAAAAGGAACGGTGCTGGCCATTTGTCAGCCTTCTCTGGTTATGCTTACACAGAAAGAAAGATGACTTTTTATCGTCCCTCAAAGCTTCATGCTGTTCAGTGAACCGGAAGAGGGTCTGCGAGAAGGACAAGGAGGTACACGTCTTCCCATATGCAAAGCAATGAATGCAAAGACCTGATTTAAAAGAGCTTCTGTAGGAAAACAGACATAAATTTCTCCTGAACAGATTAAAACGGGTTTCAAGGATTCTCAATGAAAGTGCACCCTCTGGATTTTGCTTTGATGAATGTAATTAACTTGATCTTGCTTCTACAAAGTAAATAATTTATGCAGAAGAAGCTTATTAGTTCAACTCTATATTGGTTTGATTCTTTTGATTCTCCTAGGGGAATGAGAATGAGAATTTAAATCGAATGAGCCTCTTGCTTACATAGCTGGAGATGGGGAAGTGAGGATGAGGGAAAGTGAAGCTACTTAGCCTTCAGTGTCCTCCCAGTGTTCTCAAAGACAGGACAGAATGACTGGTTTTGGCATGCAGGGGCCAGCTTGCTCAGGAAACTGTGGCATATAGAAAACAAAGTGTGTAAACAAACTCTCTCCAGGAAGCTGAGTTTGACAATGGCCTCATTAACAAGATCCAGGCAAGGACAGGAAAAGAGGGGGAAGCCAATCGCTCATTATTATACAGTTCTAGACAGATGAAGCTGTTCAGCATCTCCCCCAAACAATGCTTGTAGTGTTGATTTGACAAAGTAGCACATTTAAGAGGGAACTCTCTTGCCATCAATGGGAGTCAGACGCACCAGCATCTTAGGGCCAAATTCATTCCCTGAAGCTTGACTTTATCAGAAGACACAAGATAGAACACAAGGCAGCTATATCCACTGAGAATTAATTCAGAGCGAGAGAGACATCCAGTGAATGTAATCAATAGTCAAACCACTGCTCTACATACCAACCACTGCTGCCTTTACCTCCTCCATTCCTTTTAGATAATTGCATTAAGGTGTTTTTGTAGCTGCTTATCCCAGCAGAGATTTATTTGCTACTTGACTTCATGGGAATTCTATAGTTTTTCCATACTACATCTTTAAAATATGTCAACAAAGACTAAACATCCCAATGCCAGTATGAGTTTCTGAATGGCTGAAATCTTTTAGGACAGGATTCTATTATGGATAAATTATCAGTGTGACTTTCTCCCTGAACACTTCTCTTGTTTGATATGGGAATGTTTGACCAAATAAGACAGAGTTCAGAGCTGCCAGAATTCATACCCAAATTTGTCTTTACTGAATCTTTTTTGAAAGTATCTGCTTTAAAAATCTTTTCCATTTACAGCATTCCACAATCCCTTACACACACCCTTTCCAGTGCCAGCATTTCTTATATAGGTAAATCCACCCTTATCCCACCCAACACACATCTCTAAGTACACTGCAGATCCCCTTCTGAAGCCAATGAAAACAATCACAGAGTGTTTAAATTGCTTTCATTGTGGCTGGGATGGGGAATTCTCATTACCTTCATTTCTCAATGGCTTACCAGAGACATCATTTTGCAAGACCAGGTTCTTGGTTAAGTCCTTTAGCAAAGACTGGGATTTCCTCTTGTCTGCTTCTTTCCTGAGCAGCACTGAGACCAGAGTCATTTGTCAGATAGCACTTGCAATGGGCTCTAGCCCCGGTCGATTTTCAAAGCAGCCTTTATTACTTAAGGAAAATGGGAAATTCTGCCTCCTGGGCATAAAGATGTGAATTTTTTTTTTAATGTCCAGGACCAACCAAAAGGCTGAAAAAGGCAGATTTGACCGATATTTCCATAAGAATGAAAGCCTCTCTTTTAACTTACATGGGTAGTGCTTTACTGGAGAGTCACCTGACAGGAGTCTTTCTGTAAATGTAAACATTTTTTGGGTCTAGTTTTACAGATCTTACTTATACCATACTCCCTTTAAAGTAGATGGGAGTGTGACTTGAGTAAGCATCATAAAACCAGAGCCTGCTCTTTCCTCAAGATCTGTTTGCTTTTATGAATGAATGTGATGTCAAACAGCATCAAAACAGCCTCAAAGCAATACGACACTGAATGATGCCATGCTGAAACAAACATTGAAATGGAGAAAAAAAAAAAATCACTCCTTTGGGAAGAAGTTGATTTCTTCTTATTCAGAATGTGGTAGCCAGCCATAACTTCTAAACACAATGATAAAATGTGGAATTATTATTGACAGCATAGATTTGGGTTAGCAAAACAAAAAAAAAAGTTGATGAGATCTAAAAAAATACTCTCACCGTGATTTAGGGTAGTGTTCAACCAGTTCGGTTTTTATATGGCCTTCAAAGATTAATGTCAACTATGATTATTTTAGAACCAAAATAAAAAAATTGCTTTTACCTGATCGTCGATAAAAATATGAAATGGAGAAAAGGAAAATAAACAAACCAGCCAACAAACTATGCTCACACACAGAACAAAAGAGCTCTCTCAGGGACATCAGGGAAGGTGGAATACTATAACAACACTTGTTATACTGTTTGTTATACTATTCCACCCACCTTAATGAGGAACCCTTGGGCGTCGCTACTCCGTAGCCTTTGGAATCCAGGTTGCCTCCCACTTTCATGGTGTCACAGGGCTTTCGCTGCTCAATGTACTCATTCATCGTGGACTCCAGGAGAAAGGCAAACTTGCCCTTGGACTTGCGGACGCGAGCCACGCCCTCAGCTGTAGTCCTAGTGAACACAGAAGGCTCTGCGGATCGCATGTAGGTCCACATCTTTTCATACACTGCTATCTTTGATCTCTGGAGGAAACGAAAATAAAATTAAATACAGGAAAGAAGGGAACAGCACATTAATATCGACAGAAGAAAGATCAGGATAAAGCCTTTTACTGTCTGTGCATTAATCGTTAACTTCAGTTTGCCCGGCAGTAACATTATCCTTCAGGAATTGGAAAACTGAGTGTGTAAAATTATTTGGGGAAATAACCCAAATGGCAGACTTTCAGTGTAATACTGGGGAAACAAAGCTGCACCACTTGCCATAATAATCGCCATACTTTATTGCTTAATTAGAACTTATTTTTTCAGGTAGAAGGTCCTGGAAAAGCATGGAACATACAAAATCTCAGGTTAGATCCCTTTCATGATGAACTTGAAAAGGACCACATCATACCTGAGTTTGGCTTTTGTAAAATTCTACTCAGGTCTGCATTTGCGGTGTGGTAGGGTTGTTTCATTTTTATCTTCTTTTCTCATGCCTCAAAAATACAGTGCCCACCTAGTAAGGTCTTTAACCCTGAAGGGAGAGGTGAGCTGCCTGAGTTGACAAACAGAAGACCCCCAGAGTAAGAATTAAATTTTAGATGTCTGAAGACATATCTTCAGACTTTTTCTGACAAAATCACCAAACAGAACATACACTGAGCTTTAAAGAGATAAAATCTTTGTTTTCTGCTGGGTGTGGTGGCACGTGCCTGAAGTTCCAGCACTCGGGAGGCAGAGGCAGGAGGATCTCTGTGAGTTCAAAGCCAGCCTGGTCTACATAGTGAGTTCCAGGACAGCTGGGGCTACAGGGAGACTCTGTCTCAAAAAAAGACCAAAAAAAAAAAAAACAAAAAAAATCTGTTTTCCTACCTCATTTTGGTGTCAGTCTTTTGAACCATGTGACTCCAGCCAAGAGACTTATTTATTTTTGTAAATTACTACTGTATCCTGAGTTTTTATTAATCCCACTGCTTAATTTACCCATCTTTTATGCATTTTTAAATTTAAATTTAATTGATAACTTGTGTGTGTGAGCATGTGTGTGTGTGTGTGTGTGTGTGTGTGTGTGTGTTTTGGCACCCTGGAAAGGTTTAGAAATATTGATTCTGATTGAAAGGAGACTGACTTGGATAAGATCACACACACACACACACACACACACGGAAAATGCATGTGGAGTCAAGAGTTAAGGGCTAGAAATAACAGCCCTGAGCTTACCTGTGACTTCAAGTCTGTTTTTTATAAAAAATATAAATATTTCATTAATTATTTTTATTTTTTGATGTGTATGAATGTATTGCCTGCATGTGCGTAAGTGCACCCATCTCGTGCAATGCCTGCTCAGGTCAGAAGAGGCACTGAATTCCCCTGGAACTGGAGTTACTGACAGTTGTTAGCTGCCATGTAGGTGCTGGGACTTGAACCTGGGTCCTCTGCAAGAGCAGCCAGTGCTCTTAACCACTGAGCCATCTCTTCAGTCCCCAAGACTGCAAGCAAATATTTAGAAATTTGATGAGACAGGCTAAAATCAGCAATATTCTGCAGACCCAGCAAGCTAATAAACATAGCGGTAATTGAAAATTTAATTTCCTAAACCTATCAACTGTAACTGTAATATCTATTCACAAACCAGGCATGAGAAGCAAATATACTTAAGGTAAAAAACAAAGATAACATGGAAATAATCATCATTATTATTATTTATTTAAAAAAAATTTTTTTGAGTCAGGATCTCCCAGCTGGCCTGGAACTTCCTATGTAGAGCAGTCAGGCCTCGATCTCACAGAGATCTGCCTGTCTCTGCCTCCCAAATGCTAGGATTAAAGGTAGGCTACTTCATCTTTTTTTAAATTAGAAATAATCTCAGATCTATTTGTTTCATTGTTATTGTGAAACACTGTGTGGGAAAATTACCTGATTTAAAGCATTAACTTATTAGATAACACAATTCTTGGAGTTTGAATAATGCTTTTCTCATTTCTCACCTATGAGGTATTTTTACACACTTGCCTTTGATAGAAAATTCTATAACTATCATGCATTATAATTCATATTTATGGTGTTAGCTCTTTTCCAGCAGCTTATGCAGATAGAATATGTTCTAGAGAGACCTCATCAGTGTGTTGACAATATTATACACCTTGAGATAGTAATTCACCTCATTTATTCTCTCATCTTGCTGATGACTGAAACAGGTACAAGATTCAATCTGCATTGAAATGAAAATCAATGTGTTTGAATCAGGTGTGTAACATGAAAGCCCCTAACAACAAGGCTGTCATTAAGTGACATGTATGGATGTTCTTCAAATGCCTCTATGTTTGTGCTTAACAAGGTGCACAATACACCAAGCATATTGTTTCATAATGGGGCAAAGTCGAGGCAACGGTTGAATGCAGATGTAATTTTCCTCCATGGCCCAATTCTTTTTTGCAGCTGATTATAGCAGTGCTGTTTTATGAAGTGCTGAGGGTAGGTCACTGCCTGAGGCGGCTGAGTGGAGCTGACAGATGTGCCATTACTGTGTCCCCACAAGAAAACATTTCTGACAAGCACAAAAATATCCTTCATGTTCCGTTTCTTCAACTCATCAGACAAATGGTTTATTTAAACCAGGTCATGGGGGTGAGAAAGGAGGGAAGCAAAGGCGATTGGAAATGAATGAGGTTTTTGTTAGAAAACCCAAAAGTATGCATTCCTGAAAGTAAGCCGCAGGGGAATTTAGTTTATTGACCCATTAAGGTTTGGATTTTTCTGCAACAATAAATAACTGTGTGCGTAAAAGTCTTCCCATTTAGGAACTGAACTTGGGTAGGAGATTAAAAAAAAAAGAAAGGCTTTGTGCTGATTGAGCTTGTATGGAGACTTAAATCCTTGAGGTTTTCCTCGTTTCTACAAGTCTTATCAATACAGTCTCTTATCTACCTCACCAGTTTTTAGAATTTGATCCTTAAAAGAATCTTGATAAAGATTAAGAAATCCGTATTTACAGTGCACTGTCTGCTAAAGAGTTTCACTGTGAGTTGTTTGGGATTTTATTTTCAGCATGCTATTTATTTCCTTTCCCCTTCATCACTCAAGGCAGAATGGTGAGCCTGCAAATATTTTCATTTAATAACCATCAGCCATCACTTTTCAGTGAAATGCAAGTGACAGCACAAGCTCGCAATCTATTTTGAAACATGTATAGAACGTTTCCCAGGCAAAATCAGCAAATGGTACTTCTCTCTTTGTTAAGTTGAAAGGAGGCTGGGTGGAGTGACTTTAGCTCTACAGTATTGTTACTAAAATCTACCATCACAACAATTACTTAGTGCTTCAGGAAAAAGTACAAATATTATTTAATTACCATGTGAATTTTAGGCACTATTTACAGACCAGTCTCCCAACTGTGCACAACGATGCTCATTGTTTGATTGCTTTGAAATAAGACTTTGGATGAATTTGATGAGTTTTTGAGTGTTTTGTTGTTGATTTAGTTTTATGTAAATATCTGCAATGTAAGTATAATCAAAATGGAAATGAAAAATCCTTTTTAAAAAATGTATCTCACTGAAATTTAAGAATGTGAGATTTCAGTCTTGCACAAGCAGTATCTGGCTTGGTCGTGTTTACTCTCAAGCTAGCTAGAATATTATACATGTGTGCCTGTGCCTGTGTGTGTGTGTGTGTGTGTGTGTGTGTGTGTGTGTGTGTGTGCGCGCGTGCGTGTGCACGTGAGAATGTGTATACATATATTGAAATGTAAATCTTTCAAATGCGTTCCTAAGCATGAATGAGAAGCTATCATTGCTTTCAAATAAAAGCTTAGAAAATATCAATGAGTCATCAAGTTAAAAGGAGGACATAAAGTTGGGGGGTAGGAAGAGGGGGGTCTATCTGGGAGGAGGTAAGGTGAGGAGTTGGGACAGAATATGACTAAAACACATTGCAGGAAATTCTCAGAGTTAATATTTATTTAAAAAGAACTTTCTCCTATGATCTGAAGAATTTAACACCCTAGTCTTTAAACAGCTGATATTAAATACAAAGTATGTTGATAATCATTTGCTTCAATATTTATGACAATGTTGATTTGGCTACTTTTTAAAATATTTTGGCTCCAAATTCAGAAAATGAACTGGCAGTGTCTGTCACACATTGCTAAGTAGGTCTCTCTAGATCTAAACAGAAGGAGGATTCAAATGAAGGAAGAAGAGGGAATATTTGAGGGTATGAAGATCAGTAAGAAGGGGAAGACATGGGGGACACATGGAGGAGAGAGATGAATAAGACCATACTGACATATATGAACAAAAATCCCATCATTAAACCACTACTGCTTATTAACTTCAAAAATAATTCATGAGACCTGTGAGCCCCAACAGCACATATCCAAAGGACTCTGTATCCTACTACAGAGGTACCTGTTCATCCATGTTCATTGCTGCCCTTTTCACAATAGCCAGGAAATGGAAACAACCTGGATGTTCATCAATTGATGAATGGATAATGAAAATGTGGTATATTCACCCAAAAGAATATTATTCAGCTGTTAGGAAAAGAAAATTATGAAATTCACAGGTAAATAAATGGAACTAGAAACAATCATCCTGAGTGAGGAAACTCAGACCCAGAAAGACAAACATTACCTATTCTCTTTCATAAGTGGATGCTATCTCTGAGTCCTTAGGTATGCATGCTTCAACTGGAAAATCCATAGAGACCAGGAAACTAGGAAACAGCCATGGTTTGGGAAGGGAAGCTTCATGAGAGGGGAGATAGAATGCACTGACATAAATGGGGAAAGAGGACTAATGGAGTAGGAATGGTTAAATGGGGTGGAGAATGGGAGGGCAGGACAGAGGGGCGAGTATAGGGAGGGGAAACTGACACTAAAGGCCTTTAGAAATAGTCATATGGAAATCTACCACTATAGAAGCTTCTTAAAACATGTACATACACAGTATAAAAAGATTAAAAGGAATTACCCTGTAACAGGAGGATATTACCCCTACTGGGCACTAAAGACTAGCAAAGAAAAAACCCAATGCCAGGAATGGACTCCCTCTTCTGAAGCTGTTGACCATGGGTTCCACAGATCCTCAGATACTTCTGGCCATTTTCCTTTCTCTTTGTTGCCCATCAGAACTTGACAGTAAGATCCTATTGCTGAAGACACTATGTACACGAGTTGTAGAACAAATAAGGAGATATCAACTGTGAATCTTACAAACTACAACAACAACTGGCCTGGCAAGATATGCCCACTGGTTAATAGCGGCATGAATGTTATAGGAGTAATCATCCACTTTCTGCTTGGATTTAAGATCTGTTTCACAAGAATAGAACCCATGCCTGACACTGATATCAGGTCTAGGAACTTGCAGCTAGACAAGTCACAGGCCACAGGGGAGAATCTCCTATTATTATTCTGCTAAATAGACATAGTATTAAACTGACTCATAATGATGTTGTTATACCCATAGATGAATGCATCTCTCAACTCTCACCAGTGAAGTTTCCTCATGCAACAGATGGTGATTAGCACAGAGACCCACAACTGGTCAACATGAAGAGAATAAGAGGCTACTGAGTGCTTATCCCAGGATAGGATGCCTATATCAAACTTATGCCTCTCAAGTCTCAGAGATCATTGTAGAAGAGGGGGCAGATAGTTTGCCAGAGGTTGTAGATGACCAAAAGGAAACAGAGTTTTCCAGACAGCTGGCCAGTTGCTCATATAAACTCACAGCAATGGTGACAGCAGGCAGAAGTCTCACGTAAGCTCAAACTAGGCAGAATCCCAGCATGCAAGTGGGAAGGTGAGTAGGAGGTCCCAGCCCTTGCTGGGGAACTATTGGAAACTGGTGACTTCTGGGAGAGGGAGAGTCAGTTTTCTTTAAGGGTGTGACACTGGATAGGTTGAGCAGGCTCTGATGGATGGACCCACACTGAAGGCATTTGAGGATACAGGCTTGACTGTATAACAGAATACATGAAATTTGGCAGAGTGTATTGGGGGGTGCAGATAAGGGATGGGTGTCTAAATATGGTCAAAATATTGTATGAAATTTGCTATAACTCAATAAAAATGAAAAAAATCTTCAAAAGAATAAAAAATTGACCACCAAATGGAACAACAAGCAAACAATAGCCTACACCACATTCAGTGATGGAAAGGCAAAGGGCTCTTATCCATATATGTAGTACAGTTGTATCATTTTGAAAATTTAGTCTCTAATCAGAGAAGTGTGCTGAAGGTAAATGCCATACAGTGTCTTATGGATGGGCCCAGAACTTAGTACATTCTTTCCAGTGTTATCTAGTGAGAAAGCAAGGTGCTGCTTTGAAAACCCTTGTTACAGAATAGATTACAGGATAATTTAGCTCATAAACACAGTATAATCTTCCAGGGAGGTTTTAGGTGCCAAAGGCAGCAAGTTAAATGTCCTATTTGAAAGAAAGTTTGATTTCATTTTTATACTCTTGACCTCAAAACATACACAGATCTATTCAGCAGTTATAGCACTATTAACACTGGAGTGCTGGGCAAATTATGTCATAAGGTGACTCTGGTTACCTTTTTACTGTTGTTATTCCTTAGAGAGACTTCCTCTTGTAATATGAATCAACAAGCTTTGCAAATGAAAAAGATTACAAAATTCCAAGGCGCACTAGCAGTGAACACAGTTACCGTCAGGTGTGCTAATCTGTCATAGCTAAGCCCAGGTGTTGCGAGAATTGCCCGCATTTCCCAAATTATGAGGTGGTGTTACGTTTTCCCTTGACTTACTCTGAAGAATTCTTTTGTGGATCCCGAATCGAGTGTTCCGTATGCAATTTCTGTTTGTTTGGCCAGGTCTTCCGCACTTTCTATGGGGGAGACCATTCGCTCCACCGTCAGGAACGCAGCCAGGTTAGCAGTGTAGGACGATATGATGATGAGCGTGAAGAACCACCAGACGCCTCCCACGATTCGACCTGAGAGGGATCTAAACATGGAGAAGATCACACACATTTTCCCTTTTCTATTATTTATACATTTATATTTATATTTATTTATTTATTCATTTAATGTGTATGAGTGTATTGCCTGCCCATGTGAGTGCACCCATATCGTGCAATGCCTCGGAGGTCAGAAGAGGGCTTCGGATTCCCCTGGAACTGGAGTTAAGGATGGTTCGTAGCCGCCATGTGGGTGCTGGGAATCGAACCCCAGTCCTCTGCAAGGGCAGTCAGTGCTCTCAACCACTGAGCCATCTCTTCAGTCCCCATTTTTCCTTTTCTAGCCAGCAAAGAGAAGAGAGAAATCCCACCAATTCTCCATTGCATTTACGAGTGACGATTGTAGTGTTCTGTGTTTTGATAGTCTACTCAAGACTGACACTTGCAGTTCTGTAAAATCTGATGTCTCTTGTGCTATACTTAAAATATAAGTGCCACCGAAAATATGGCAAAGTGTATTTATTGTTAGTATGGCAGAAACATAGGACTGACCAGTTTTGTCAGATGGCAAAGGGGAATGTTTGCTTAAAGTTATCGGTAATCTCTCTCCTGGTTCAGCAGCTCTGAACCAGGATGCTGCCTGTCGCTGATGAGCTAGAACACAGCACTCTGGTTTAATTGGCAATGCTCTTGTCTGTCTTTATGGTGCATAAAATAGAGATACATTTAGACAGACAGAGTATTTGGTTTCCCTCACACTGGCAGATACCTTGCAGAGACTGAGAGAGACCACTCAGCTTTGCAGGATCAAGATGGGAAACAAACAGGCCAGGTTGAGGCTGAGCTAGTGGGGTTGGAGGATGGGGTCCAAGTGAGGGAAGGTGAGAATCTTCTTCATTTGCCATTCCATTTCTGAGTTGAGTAGAGGATGAGCCATGTCCTAAAGAATCTTCATATAATGGCTTAAAAATGTTCACCTTTTTTTTTCTATCAAGGATGCATAGGTGAATGTAATCACATAGGAAAGTTAAAATGAGATGAATTAAACAATCCAGGGGAGAATGCTCATAATTAATTCTACTCATTTTACCATCAAATGATGTACAAATCTTGTGGTAAGTTTCTTTTTTTATTTTCCTCCAAGATAGGGTCTCTCTGACTCTAGTCTGGGCTGGATTGGAACTTACTATGTAGCCCGCAGTATCTTTTACTTGAGGCAATTCTCCTGCCTCAGCCTCCTAAATCCTAGGATTATAGGTATGAGCCACTATACCTGGCAAATAGTTTTTGTACTTGATCTTAGCCAAAAGGCTGAGAAGTTATATAAATAATTTTTAAATGTAGTTTTAAAAATTAAAATTACATTTATTTGCTTATTCTCTCTCTCTCTCTCTCTCTCTCTCTCTCTCTCTCTCTCTCACCCTCCCTCTCTCTCTGCATGCAAGTGTGCCACAGCACATGTGACGCGGTCAGAGGGCAACTTGCAGGAACGGGTTCTTTCCTTTTATCACGTGGATTCCAGGGACTGAATTCAGATTGTCAGGCTTGGTTGCAAGCACCCTTACCTGAGCCCTCTCACCAGCCCTAAACATTTTTGAAAACGTGAAGAGTCACTTTGTGTTTGCATCGGTGGCCTCTCTACCCTCTTTCCTTACTTGTGATTATAAAAGTGATACTTGTTGCTTTCATCTTGGCTTTAAGACCCGTTACTTGCTTTGCTCTCACTCTTGCTTCAATAATTGACAAATATTGATTCAGATCCTTCTGTTAATGGAACTAAAGCAGATTTCAGAGTGGTTTCTGGGTCCTTCAGAATGTCAGCTGTACTGTGTCCCAAATGCCTCCTTTTTGAGAAAGCGTATTTTCTAAACATGTTTGTGATGCTAAGAAAGAGTTAATAAGCAAGTCAACATGTTGCTTCTTATAATTTCAACTACTTCCTTTGTGGGAGAAATCATGCAGTTTTTCTTCAGCAAGCTGGATTTTGGTGAAACAGTGACTCGGTGGCATTCCAGGAAAGGAAGTCCTATCTCCTTACACAGACTCACAGCTCCATAACTAGCTTAGAGTTTACACTGCCAGATTTTCCGCACTGCTCACTTTATTTAAAGTTGTTAAAGCAATTTGTGCCTGTTACAACTCATACACACTGATGTTTTCAAAATCTTAACATTAATTTTTGTTAAATTAATCTGCAACATTAATTTTTGATGGTGAATCACAGTAACAATGACGGCAACACTGTTTGAAAAAGAGCCAATAAGAATCAGGGCTCTTCAACAAGTCAGGTTTTAGTTTCCATCTCTCAAAACACATAAGGAAATATTAATACAAAATAACTTGGGGGAGTTTCAACAAGTTGCATACTTACTTTTCTGTTCAGAAAGTTAATATTTTTTGCTGACTTAGGAGATATTAGCTATCAATATACTTAGGGTGATTTAAGAACTGCATTTCAGACAGCATTCTACCTCCAGGAAAAGACAGAGACATCCTGTGTAGAACATTTAGAAATTGTGGAGAACTGTGAAGAATGTTTGTTTTGAAACTGACCTGGGAGAAATGTCACATCCTTGCTGCATAAAGGCACCCAGGGAAAACCAGAGGCTGTTAAAGATGCCAAACTCATTGGGAGGCTGGTCGCTGGGTCCTTCCTTTCCATCCTCAGGCTCTTCCGTGTGCCACTCATATGGACTAAACCTACTAACTAGGAACAAGACCACGCTGACACCAATGTACGCAAAGACTATGCACATCCAGATCTCATAGGCCAGAGGATCCAAGAAGGAAAACACTCCCGGTTTAGATTTCTGAGGTTTTTTGATCATGATAGAGATGCCCAAACTCATGAAAGGCTTAGAGAAGTCGATGACCTCTTCCCGTACCAAAGTGATTGTCAGAGGGGCAATAGCAATCTCTGCTTTCTATAAGAGAAAAGACACATGGGGACACACAGGTCAACAGATTTCATGAAGCAGTTAGCACTGGAGTGATCCAAAGTCCACAAATCATGCATTCATTTTTTTTTTGTCTTTTTGGAGGGCCTGCGGTGATTAATCCCAGCTGCAAATAATAGAACACAGAGTGATTTGGCTCCTTAAGTTATTACTTAAATAGCACAAAACATTTGACAAGGGTTTTTTGAGACAGGATCTCACTATGTTGCTTAGACTGGCCTTAGACTCATGATTCTCTTACCTAAGCTTCCCCAAGTGCTGGGATTACAGGCATGAAGTGCTACGCTCAGATGCACAGCATATTCCAGTTGGTGCTAGTAGTTAGACAGAAGGACTAGAAAGCACATAGTAGATATACCAAATTGCCTGGAACTTACATTACTCAGATTTTTAGGGTCTGGGATGTTGTAGAGGAAAATGTAATAGTCTTTCCGTATGCTGCTGTTAAGCGTTTCTTTACCAAAAACACTGTTTTGCTGCAGTCATTTCTATTTCATTTGAAATGTTGCCACAAATTAATTGGCCATCCCATAATTTTATGAATTCCAAATTTCAAAGAGACCATTTTCTGGATTATTTATTTATAGCATAGCTGGATTTGCCTGCATAAGTACATGTGCATAAGTACATGTGTGCAGTTGCCTAAGGAGGTCAGAAGAGGGCATCAGATTCCCTGGAACTGGAGTTAAGAACATTGTTAGTTGCCATGTGGGTACTGGGAGAGGAACTCAGGTCCTCTGCAAGAGCAACCAGTCCTCTTAACCACTGAGTCATCTCTCCAACCCCGAGACCATTCTTATTTATTTCTTTCAGCTATGAGAAAACCCACCCTAAAGCCATCATTTGGCTGATAAGAAGAAAACCTCTTTTTTTGACAACCTATTCCAATTTTTCACACACAGAAATATGGAAATTGTCATTTGCTTCTTGTTATACAGATACTTTGGTTTTTCTCCTCCAATATTTTTTAATGCTTCTTCCTCAAATATAACTCTTTTTTTAAAAAAATTATTGATTTATTTTGTGTGTATATAACATCCCAAAAAATCTTATTCATCTATATACCCACATCTCAAATGGCACCCTCCCATAGCCTCGTCCCCATGGGAGCCCATATACTCTGTCATCCCTGTTACTGTCCACTGTGTTGTTGGTGCCCACAGCCATTGCCCAGTGCTTGTCCATCCACTGAGCCTAGTCAGTCTATCTAGAGTTTCTTGTTTTAGGAAAATCAGCTCTTCCTTATCTAGCAGCAATCAGTTGCCAATATTTCTTTAGATAAGATTGGGGTCTGCTGTTCATTTTCCCAGTTCTGTGCTGGGTTACTGTCTGTCTCCTCCCAATATTTTTAAGAACACAATTCTGGAACACAGTAGTTTCAATTCTTATTTTTATCACACAATATCTTTCTCCTTTTTCAGAGTTCAGTGATTCTGAGGGTTTTCCAAGACTGTTTCTGTGGCTCTAAAATGTGATCATGTTTTTTGCCTGTTCACCTTAATATTGACTGTGATTATTAAAATAGTTAAGAGAACATTGCTGAGCATGTGCTGAGGGATTCCATATCTGATGCTGGTCAAAATATCTTACATGACTAATTTCATGCTCCTGACCAGCTCATGTTTATCTTTGTCTTGTTGATGGAACTGAGGTAGAGTGTTTCACTGTGGAAACTTCTTAGATCTGAGCCTTCTAAATCCTAACACATTTAAAACTGAATTACATAAACAGTGATGTAAAAAAATGAAACTGTTGTCTGATAGGTAAATTAAAATAAAGGTTTCATTATTTGATTTAAAAGGAAAATTGTTCACATCATAATGGAATTGGAAGCATTCAGACACATAGACTTTCAGAGTGGTTATACTTTTTAAATATTTATTTGTGTTTATGTGTATATGTGTGTTCGTGTGTTTGTGTATGTGTGTGTGTGTGCGTGCGAGCACGTGTGTACATGCGTGCATGTCCACAGAAGCTAGAAGAGGATGTTGAATCCCCAGGATCTAGAATTACAGGCAGTTTTGAGCTGCCTGACTTGGGTGCTGGGAACTGAACTGAAGTCCTCTGAAATAGGAGCCAGTACCGCTAACTGCTGAGTCATGTTTTCAGCCCTTTAAAAATATTTCTTTGAGATTTATTTAGAGATTACCACTCTTACATTACAGCTACACATCTTCAGGCTCCTGTTTGATCTAATAGTCCCATCCTAATATAAAGAGAAGGGAAAGGCACCTGCTCTCCACCGGGAGAACAAGAATTGGTCTCATAACTACTTCATTTTTATCTAAATGTAGGAGCCAGAACTATTGGGAGAGATGGTTATTCCCCTGTAATTACTATCTGTATAATTTTCCTCACACAAGTGGTATTTGAGCTAGCCACAGAAAGGCTGCCACAGCAAGTTAGAGAAAGTACTTAGTCTTTCCTCACTCTGTGTTCACCCATGTTTCCCACTAGGCTTACTCTATATGTATTTTTTCTCTTTGAAAATAGAACAATATAGACCATTATATTTTATTGTTACTGTCTTCAAAAGAATATGATGAACATTTCCTTATGCAAATGTGCTAATTAAAAACATTTTAATGCTTACAAATATATATTTAAAGTTTTTATTGAATTTTTGTGCTTTTCATACAATATAATTTGATGGTATTTAGATCTCCTCCCCGTCTGTCCCCTACCTAATTTAATGTACTCTATTACACACACACACACACACACACACGGTTCTTCAGTGTGGGTCCATCCACTGGCGCCTGGTTAACCTACCAAGAGCCCCATCTTGAGACTGTCTCTCCCCTCCCAGCAGCCATCTGTTACCACAGTTTCCTTAGGTGGGTTTGGATCTTCTTATCCACTTCCTCATGTCTATGCTGCGGTTTTTCTGGTTTGAGCTTACATGGGACTTGCTCCTGCAACTATTTCATTAAGTGAAAATGTACAAATCTATCCTACGAAATTCCTATTTGGTGGGATATTTATATTATTTACAATTTCATAAAATTTATAATAGCTATGAATGCTTTTATTTTATTAAAATTTTATTACATTTATTATTTAGTGTGAGTGTGTGTGTGTGTGTGTGTGTGTGTGTGTGTGTGTGTGTGTGTGTGTGTGTGCATGTGTGTGGTATGTGTGGGGGCATGTGCATGCCACAATGTGCTTGTGGAGGTCAGAGAAACTGAACTAGGGTTGTCAGGCTTGGCAACAAGTGCCTTAACCCACTGAACCATCTCAAAGGCCCTACACACATTTTAAAGACAAAGTCTTACACATGCTTTAATGATCTCAAATACCTTTCAGGACTGGAGAGATAGTTCAATGGCATGTATGAAGCCTCGGTGGAATGCATTGAAAAGAAAGGGAACTGGAGCTCTAAATGGCAATGATCTTCCTCCTGATGTGATAGAAAGAGCAGACGTGCTGTCTGCAGTGTTCACAATGGGAAAACATGTGAATCCTTCAGACCTCCTGCTTATCCTCATTCATTCCTGCCAATTTCCTGTCTGAAAAGTTAAAATTCACAGTACTAATTTGTTGTTTTGGAGAGACAGGGTCTTACTATATAGCCCAGGCTGTCCCTAAGCTCAGGCTACTCCTGTGTCAGTCTCCTGAATGTTGGAATTACAGGTGTGCACTACCATGTCTGGCTGCAACACAGGTGCTTTATATTTTGTTGTAGCTATTTCAAATTACTTTCTAATGTTTTTGGGCTTTCGTTTAATTCTTTGAAAAATTCTTCTCATATCAATATTGCATTTATGACTGTGGTATCTAAAAATCAGTGTGTGATTATTTATGGCACGTTCCATGATGAAGTATTACAAAGTCATTAATTTTCCAAGTTACTCTTCTGCTTTCCTACAGGAATAAGTGAAGCAAAACATCTTTTCACTGACTAGAAACGTCACCTTTTGTAATTTACATTGTGCTTTGGAGAATTTGGAAATTTCCGTTTAATTCATTTTGCTGCTAGTGGCAGAAGAGACCTTAAAAGCAAAGAAAGATGCATGAAGAGAAACGGAAGTTTTATCAGCAAAGGAAAAGAATTGCAATGGAAGGTGAGTATTGGGTGAAGGTGGTGATCGTGGTGTCCCAGGAGAGACACTTTGGAAGCCTGGGATTCGTGAGCATTTAGAAAGAGTTGTCAGCAAGCAGGGTACGTGTGGATGCTGTGTATTCGTGCTAGGGATGCTGTGTGCACACTGTCTCCCTACCTCTCAGTGGTTCACAGGATGGAATATGAAATGTCTCCATTGGGAGCATTGAGAGCTGGACAAGGTTTTCATTCCTACAGACCACTGGAGCAAGAGTAAGAAATCAACAACTTCATTCTTATACAGGTAATTGTGGTGCTAGGTGAACTACGGAACATCCTTTGAGAAAAATTCCTTATGATTTCACACACACACACACACACACACACACACACACACACACGGTAGGACTCAGGCTGTCTCTGAAGCAGCTGCCTACCACAGGAAAGTGCAGTGAACTTGCTGCAGTGCATCCCGAGAACCTGTGAGTGGAAGACAGGCTTGAGTTTTTGGGCCCCTAGATGGTGGTATGTAAAATCTTACCTAAGTGATGCACAGGTAATCCGTCCACAACAGTTTTAGTAACAATGTTTTCAGAGACTAAATAAAAGGCAATGGATTAAGAGTTTGTCATTTTACTCTCTAATAGGTCTTGTCTAAAAGCGAATAACTGGACTTTACCTAGAACCCTGGGAACTGGGCTTCATGTATGTGTTAACTGTAAGAAAGAAAGGTTGAGACTCAGGTACAGGCTTCATACACATCACAATGAGAAGTCCCAAACTTGTACTCTGTAAAGTACAAGAAGATGGTAGAAGATTCCTTTGGGGACAAAAGTGGACAAATCAAGAGACTGAGGGTCTTTAAATACTCTCAGACCTGCTGAAGAGAGAGAGCGAGCTGCTACTGACAACTTCCACTGCACCATCTTGTTCCCTGCGATTGCGCAGCTTGGGGACTTTTGGTTACTGTGACGTGTGCTGCTGATACAACTGTTTACTTACGATATTACTTGTTTTCATTATTTAGGTAATTTCCCCCAAATGAAGTATGGTTAGAACAGTTGTAAAGGGATGACCTGCCTGGGGAGGGCCACTAGAAGACAGATGTATAACAAATACCCCAGAACTAACTCAGGTTAGTTAGGTTATCAATAACTAAATGGTGATCCAACTAAGTTTCTTTTGAAATAAAACACCAATAATATTTTCTTGAGAAATTACTACACAGGTTGGATATCTCTAATCCCCCAAATCAATAATCTGAAACGCTCCAAAATCTGAAATTTTGGGAGTGCAAATATTTAGTTATAGTTGGAAGATTCCGTATATGATGGGTTACAGTCAAAATGTCCAGAAATTTTGTTTTGCACACAAACCTAAAATAGTACATAAACTTAACCTTAAATTAAGCATATAAGGCATATATAAGTTAATTATGTGTTTAGAATTTTTTTATCCCCAAGTTATCCCTTTGTGAATATAAAATGTCCACAAATCTAAAAAAAGTTCAAAATGGAAACTCTTCTGGTTAGAGCACTTGAGATAAGGGATGTTCAGGCTGTAGGTCTAACAACTTAGATCTTGGACTTTTCTGAAATGTGCTTACTGTATCAAAAGTTGAAGATGTCAGTCAAGAACAGATGTTTTAGTAACTCCTTTTCTTTTAGAACTTAATTCAGTATGAAATTGTCAGAGAATCTTGTGGCAAAATAGTTTGCTTATTTTTTTCAACTTCGTTTTCTCCTCATCTAGGACCATCGAAGCAGTCAGCAAGTCTCCCTCATGGATGCAAAATGGTAATTTTATTATGTCAAGCAATTTCCTGTGTCTGCTGAGATTTGAGCAATTGTACTGTTCTGTACAGAAAATGTGTCTTTTTTCACGGTCGGCAAAGCAGGATGCAAAATCATGAAATTATTCCATTGCGGTTCTGGCTGGGAAAGTGAGTCCCTCTGTGGACCTTGCCTCTTTCTGAATCTGTCTTTACTCTTTCCTGGGGGAAGGATGCCTCTCCATGTAATGCTTCATTTCAAAGGGCTTTTCTGAGGATTAATCAGAGAGAGGGTATGCTTTGAAAGTGAAATCTGTGAACTATGAATTGGCTTTTAGGAAATTTCCTGACACATTCCAGGTGAAAGTCACTTTTACTGGCTACTGGCTGCGCCTCGCTTACTGTGAACTGTAGATTTGACCTCTGAACTTCTGACATATCATAGCATCACTAGGATGTGGTAACTGCCAGTTTGATTTTTTGACACTGCAGAGGTTGCCAAAAAAGAGGGATCTTGATCTTGTTCACTCAGGCAGGGACATCCTTGCTGTGTTATGCTGTGTTTGCCCTTGGCTATCAATGTGCACATTCTGTACCCAGTGTGCTTGCTGGGGGAAGGGCACAGCACGCTCTGTGGGAGGCCAGCTTTGGAAAACATTCTAGCTTTTGTATTTTGTTATATGTGCTAGAGTGAAAGAAAGAAAAGGTGCATTATACAAAGTGTGAACTTATTGTGGCCTGCAGAATTGTAAGAATCTCACACTACTGATGAATAGTTCATAGAAGCTAGAATACCATGGTAATCAGAAATTATTTCAAAGACACTTATGAGCAATTATGAATAACAAGAATTCACATGACTAGATAAAATAATGACTGACTTTATACTATTGAGGGAAATCTGCTACTATAATTATCCAGTAGCAGATAACTAATGGATTTTTTTTTGCAGCTCTGTGGTATAGCTGTATAAGGTAATATTCAACACAGATCCTACATCTTTTATTATTGTTGCTGGTTCTGCATTTTAAAGAAGTAGGACACCATATTCTGAATTTTTAATATCTCTTTTTGCTTTTTGAAGTGGTCAGGATCAGTCTCATTATTTGAGAATTACATTTCTAATGAAATAGAGAAACATTTGACTATCACATGCACCTCTTGGAACATTGCTATAACTTAGAAAAAAATAAGACATTAATGGAAAGTTAAAGGTTGATAACATGCTCCAGTGAAAAGAGGCTTCAGGCTGCTGTAGAACATTCATCAGTCGGTTTGCTTACCCCATACACAAGCTCTCCTACCATCCCGTTCCAGATCTTAGTGTCTGCGTCCCTTGCTCCGTATTTTCCATCAGGGACAATGGCGATTTTATACTTGATACCAATATGTTTTGCGATTTCTGATGCCAGATCTACACAGTAGCCTTCGTATTTGTCATTCCCTTCAAACATTTCATGATTTTTCTTGTACATGACATATGGTGATTCCTACAATGAGAGAAACAAAGCTGTAAAGGAGAAATTATAAAACATTTGAAAAGACTGTCTATATCTTTCCAGTTTCAGGTTTTGGGCAAAGTGTATCCTGGTAGCCATATGATTTTGTGTGACTAGAAATTATTAACAACACAGATGAATGTATAAATATAGTTAGAATTCTTGTTAAACTAGTTTACATTGGACACCATCAGTAACATATTTAAAACGATTTTTTTGAGTGATTATTACATAGTACTGCAACTTTAATAAAAAAGTCTATTAGTAATTTTCTAAAGAATCATAATTCATCTTTTTTTTAGCTTTGAAGCTGGTATTCCCAAAATATTCCATGAAATTAAAGATGATTTAGTGGCTACTTCTATGTAATAAAACTTGTTCATGGTCACCTGTCTCCATTTTGCATCTTTTCAGACCTCATCTAGGGTGCATTTCTCCAAACAGGCATTTTCTATACAATTGTTAAGAAGAAATAATGGCTTTAACAGCTTATATCATTAGTTACTTGTGTTAGATTTGCTCTCCTGCTGTTCAGTATTTTGATTAGATGTTCTATGAATTTTAAGTCTATTGTGAAATGTGTCTCTAATGGAAGCTCATAGTTTCTCTTTAGTTGTGAAGAATACACACTTCAAGTGATATTCCCATTTAGTTTTCTACACATGTGAGTCATAAAACAGGATGAAGTGTAGAGAACATCCTATAACATGAAATATCTTACTGGTGTTTAATAACTACTAAATAGTTTCCAGTTAACACACACAAGCATACACACAAGCACACACTTAAATAATATGATTTTAAGATTTTAACTGAAGAGTTAATGCTAACCCCCAAAGCCATTGATCTTACTAATAACACCTATGTGATCAACTGAAAGACAGGTTTGTGAATATGTGATATATAGGTTTTTAGTTATTTTCAGAAAAGTAGTAACCACATTTGCAACATTATTGATAGAACATACTTACATTTTATAAAATTATACTCTAATCCTAATTTAGTGATTGATCCTAAGGCTTTTCTTTTTCCCCAGGGGTAAATGGTATTTGGAGAAGTTGAGCTTGTACTTGGCAACTAGCTTTATGTAATACAGAAGTCCTACACAAATTCTGACTTTCTTTCTGATTATCTTGCAAACATTTAAACACTTTATAGCATGTGTAAATTACTAAGATTGTGTCTTCTCACAGAGATGCTGTATTTGATTTTACAGTGGGAAACTGCCAAGATTGGTCTTTACACTATTTTAAAAATTTCTGCCTTTGATTGTCATGGCAAAGTGACCCAGATGTCTCTTGCTTCTTTGCATTGGATGGACATTCAATGCTAGAATAGGATAAAAATACCTCTCCACCTATCGAATTGAGGAATCTATTTTCCCTGCTTTAGTTACATAAAAATTATTATCCTCCACAAAAGTTCTATAGTTTAATGTGTTCTTTGTATTACAAAGTTGATCATGAAGAAGGCTAAGTGACTGCAGAGAAGTGAATCTCTATCCTACACTGGAAAATACGAGTAGCTATTATGAGCTTTTTCAGTTTTTACAGTAGCCTGATTAGAATGTGGACAGTTATTTAGAAAACAGCCAGAACCACATATTTGCAAATCAGAATGTGAAACATTCCAAGTCCCTGGTTGCAGAGGTGGCAGTGGGAAGTAGAAGCAACTCTCTGGTTCTAAGGCTGAAGGTGAGTGAGGTCTACAGTGCCTCAAGTAATGGAAAGTTTAGGAATTTTACCGCTCAAATAAGTATGTGCCTATTAATTTTTGTGTACGTTTCTCTGACTTGCAAATGATCTAATTTACTAAATTCTTCCCATATTGTATAGTGAACAGATTAATGAAAAAGCTGTTTGTTCATTATTTAATCAAGCATTTATTAAGCACCTGCTGCATGCCAGGCAAGGTACTGGGAGCTAGACATGTAAAAATAAACACAGCTTGTCCTTTGTCCCCTTGTAATTAAAGTGATTGTAAGTTCTTTGTGATGACAAAGGAAAAGTGAGTGGTGGAGAACAGTCACAGAATTTGGTGGGAGAAATAATATTGCTTAATGATGTAGTGTTTTCTCCAGGTCAAGGACAAAGCTCAGTTCTTTTTTAAAATTATTTTTATTATATGTGTATGAGTGTATTGCCTGCATGTATGCCCTTGGAGGTCAGAAAGCATTGGATCCCCTGGACCTGGAGTTACCAACGACTGTCAGCCGCCATGTGGGTGCTAGGAACTGAACCCGGGTCCTTTGCAAGAGTATCCAGTGCTCTTAACCACTGAGACATCTCTCCAGCCCCCAAAGCTCAGTTCTTTAACTTTATGGCTCCATTTACTTTTTGCATTGCATCTTGAAGTAAGCATTTCTCATTTTGTAGATGGGAAAATTAAGATTTTCTCAATTTTACTCAGTTAAGTGACAGAAGTGGGCATTAGGCTTTTGTTTTCAAATGTGGAAAATCTTAAAGCTATTATATCTTTAAGATATGTGTAACTACCTGAGATTTTATGAGCTTGAACAAGAGGGAACAAGATTAGATAAATACATTTCTGTATCATTAGCAAATTCAAATTTTATGATCTTTTGAGTAAAGAATGTAGATAAAAGTTTTCCTTTCTTCTCTAGTGTCTGACACATAGAAGGCCCTCGGTTACTGTAGTCATACCCAGATCAGTGCTTCCTGGATAAGAATATCCTGGCAAAAAGGGTATATTATAACTTATTGATTCATGCCTACAAAATGAAAGTAAATATTGACACTAAGTAAACAGGTCATTTAGCTAAGGCAGGAATACATATGTGTGAGCAATACATTTCTTTAGTGTCCTCTTCTTTTTCCTCAGTTCTCCTTTAGGACAGCTGGGTCCCCTCAGGTCTTTGCTGCCAACTAATGTTAGCAAAATCTTTAGCTTACAGAAGATGTTGGTTAGCAATTACCTAGCATTTTTGCACAACCAGAGTCATAACTAATGCTTGAGACTCAGGCTCAGTGATGCACATAGCACAAAGAAACAAAATGATCATGCTTCAGGGGGCGGGGAGCGCAAAGGGAAAGAAGGCTAGGTGTTCTTGTACAAGGATGTCAGATCAGACACCACTAATCAACTTCGGAGTGTGTCTCCTTTTGCTTTACTTTCATGTCAAATCCATGAGTTGCAAACCCTCATCTCTCAACCTCCTTTGTCTCAACTCTCATCTGACAAGTTATCTGTATGTAGCTCTCAAACTTTGTACACTGGGGAGATTTAACATCAAATTTTAGGGTTACTATGGCTGAACAAAATACAAATGTCTCAATGCAGTAAAAATGAATTCCATGAAAACGTTAGGGTGATGGTTGGTGGAACATCTTTTCAAAGCAGCCTTACATAGCCCCAAGTGTCCAACTATGATGAACAGCAGAAAGCTCAGGAGTGAAATAGAACCTCTTCTTTCTTGAGAGGGCAACCTTATTTCTTTATTACCAACTACTGTGCTTTGTGGGGCAATGATTCCATAAAAGTTATTTTGCATTAACTACTTCTCAGCAATGAAGAGTTTAGAAAGATGATTTCCAAGATGGATGGTGTTCTGCACCTCCTCTATCACTTCAGGGAAGAAATCACTCTCAGTCTAAAGCTGCTACGAGAGGACTTGCTTATGAAAATGTAGACATAAGTGAGAGGATTTATAATCTTAAGTCGCTCAATCCTAATATAATCGATAGAGCATATTTTCCTATTGAAGAACTATTTTGTAGTATTTGAATTTAACAAACGCAAAATGGTTGAAACTTAGAAACAAGATACATAGCAGCAAAGCTTCACCATTTTATAAATATCACCATTGCAACCTGTATAAATGCTACTGAAAATGGTCTACATCACATCAGCTACAGCAGCCCATGTTTGCTATGTGGGTATTTGCTTTTCTCCGAGGACTCTTAATGGAGATTTCTTATTTAATCCCATGAGTAAAATTAAGGGACGTGGACATGAAGTTGTTATTATTCAATTCAGAAACAAATGAAATTTGACATAAAAATGTCTTTGAAAACCAACTGGGTTGTTACTTGTCCTTTGGAGGAAGGATTAATATTTGGTATGACAAGGAAAATGAACACATTTCTATTTTTGGTGTACATATGTATATGCATAAACACATACAGTATGGATAGATGTACATTTGGTTTGTATGTATATTATTATATATACATGTATGTATGTACATGTACAAACTTTTACATAAATATTGCAAAACCGCAAAGTGATCTTAAAAATGATTTAAAAGTAACCTTGAGAATGATTAGGTATAACATGTAAAATTATTTTTATTTGTAATGTAATTCCAGTATTGCAGTGGGTAAGTTTGGTTTTATGTAAAATTTTCCTAAAGAACTATAATATTTATACAATGGTATGAAATATCTCTTTAGTTAACTAATGCTTAATAATCATCATTTGACTGAAATAGTAAAGTAGTGAGAAATGAAAGGGCTTTACTGAAATGTCTCTAAAATATATTTCTGTTTTTAGAGAGTTCAATACCAAAGAAAATAGATTGTAGAGAGACTCCCTACTGTTTCTTCGACATGCGTGTGCCATGAGCTACCTTATCCATAGAACTGCACTTTTACTAACCACATGGCTTAGATTTCTGAGTTTCTTTGCAGAGTTATTACTTTGTATGCAAAAAGCAGACCCACTATGGTCACAGTCTCATGAACATCACAGATGTATTTCTGAATATTTAGTCAGTAAGAATTAATGATAAAAATTTGTGCAATTGCCATTTTTATTTTCTATTTAGGCTTAGCTACATTATGGTCTGTTTGTTCAGTATAACTGCATCTGTGCAGAATAAATTCCTCATGAAAACAAAGATCACACTGTAGACATACAACACTTGCAAGAAAAACATTTTGACAGCATAAAAAGACAATAACCCATTTTATTTTAGATTGAGAGCAATTGAAATCATTTTTTTATGTTTCTTTTCTGCCTTTTCTATGGTAAAAGTTCCCTTGGGTGCAGAAGTTTTGACTCTAACATATCTCCAGGGTCCATAACTGTGCCTGGCACACAGCAGACGCTCAATAAATATTTATAAATGAATAACTGAATTTCTCAATCGATTTTATTTAACAATAACAGGTCAATACAGTGTATCAACATATAAATACAGCATACATAAAGGACAAATGTAAACTTGGCAACACTATATCTACTTTGATAATTAATAAAATCAGTGGTTTCCAGCACTCTCAGCCTTCCTCAGTATCTAGAGCTCTATATCAAATACATGCCAACTTCCAGCCAATTCCACATCTACTGGGGGTTTTCAACTGAATGTGGAGGATTATTACATGCAGGTGTCAATATCTTATGCATCTATAAGAAACCATGTTTCTTTCAAAGTAATTGAGTTTGTGGGGTTGATCTATGTCCTAGGCTATCACTTTTCAATAGAAGGAAACACAAAGACACTGTCAGGGAGTGGGTTCTGGAGTTTTCTGTTCCGTTCTGTTTTGTTTTTGAATTAGGGAATGGTCAGGCAGTTGAAAATACCAGAGTTATTACTTAAAATTACATAGCCATATAAAAGACAAACATGAGTATTACACTATTTAGATAGCAAAAATATTAATAGCATCATTGTCAAATAAACAGATGATTTTACAGAATATTCTTCATAGCTATAGGAAATGGTTTCTCTGCAGTTATTTTTTAAACTTATTTTTTGATAGCATGCTTCCTTAAAACTAGCCATGCCTGAAAAGTCAATTCAGCATTTTGGTTCTGAGACATATAGATCCTACCCCTTTCATGTCAGGCATGGGGGAGAAAACTCCACATTGTACCCTTAATGCACACTATACATTTATTTCATGAAACAGGCAAAATTTCAAAATAAAACAATTATATATTTATCCAGAAAACAAGCACAGAAATTCAGAGTTTTTACCCTGAAGGAATGTCTACTTAGAAAGAGTCATGCTAGAATCCCATCATTCGTGTACAGTGGCTCGGTTTTACAACACGGGGACAGGCACATCAGAATCACCAGCTGATTCTTTTTCACCATCTATTTTCTTGAGAAAGAGAAGAACTGAGGATTGATTCTTCTTTTGTTCTAGTAACTCACAAAAGTCACACACACACACATTAAAAAAAATAGTTTCCTGGTAGTCCAGAGTTGGTCATCCAAGAAGAATCCCACTTGAAAAATAAACAAATTTATTAACAGGAGAACAAGACTCCAGCCTTAGTTAGGAATGGTCGAACAGCGCAGAACTCTTGTCTTTCTTGATCAATTTCTTAAAATAGGATTCTTCATCAGAGGCTGAAAAGAGGAGGACTGTACTGAAGTATGAATTTCCATTACTGTGTCTTTTTTTAGGAAAAGAAATATATATATGTATGTATATATATATATATACTGCTTTTCAAATCCCATGCAAATATTATACAATTAAGTTAGAAGGTTTACACAAACACTTCTGTTGGTTGGTTTGCATTCTAAAATCATAAACCCCAACCAAGAATTATCAGATTACATTAAGTTGCTAAAAGGTGAACCCACACAGACGTAACTAATTGCAATATACAAATGCTTCTCTTTGGTGTTTTCAAGCTTTGACTTCAGTGTCAGTTTTAGAAATGACGTGACATTACTAAAATCCTAAAAGTAATTAAAACTATGTATGCTAAAAACTAAATGACATAAATACTTCTATTTTACTTAAAGTAAGGGCTTCAATGAATAATTAATATTTTACCTACAGAAACAGTGGGCTGAGGATATATAATCTTAAATGAGATAGAAAGGTCACCGATTGTTGATCTCCTTTGACTATCACTGACTATAAAGGGCATGCTTGATTTTTAGAAGAGAAAAGAAACAGAATAGTCTATTATTTAAAAGTAATTCCATGAGAACCTTCTTAAAAAGGACTCTTAAAA